CTTCTATCTTTGAGTCTTGGATTATACAAGGTCTTCCGCCGCGATCTCTATGTTGGAACGAGAATGATTTAATTTGGTGTGTGGACGGAAGATTTGTCAGCAACCGTTGACATGCCCTTCGCAAGTCACAGCGCAAGTAATCTTCACCAAGAACAGAGATGTCCCAAAATGTAAGCTGCATTTTGTCAGGTGTGTTTTTCCCCGACAGCGAAGCTTTGGGGTCTTCTGCCATAGTATAGACTTCGGAGCAAGCTTCGGAGCAGGTGTTCCAAGCAGGTTCCGGAGGAGGTTTTGCATGGAGAAGGTTCCGGAGGGGGTTCCAGAGCGGAGGTTCCGGTGTTCATTTCTGGGGGTTACAATGCAGCCGGCCAAGGAAAAAAAGAAAATACATGTAAGTTACAAGTTTATGGTGGCGCTGAGATGGATTTCCTACAGGTGTTTTACGTAAATGTACGAATTGTTGTGGCCCATGTGTCCCCCCCTTCCGACGGCTTCAGCCCCCACCCATTGTCCCAAGGGGGACCTGCGCAATTGCAAGTTACAATTCTTTGACCCCCCTTCCCCCCCACAAAAAGCAGAAATTGTAACTTGCAATTTCGCAGGTCCCCCCAATTTTGTAGGGATAGGGGGTGGGGATTTTGTACGAACGACACATAACAAAGAAGCGACAACGGATGCATACGGCGTGCCATGTTATCTACATACACACGTATGTTATCACCCCCCCACCCCGCCTGTGTTTGCTTTTCATGACTACTAACCTCTTCTGTGTGGTCTCACCTCTCCTATATGTACATGACTGACACATCTGGCTCAAACCTGGAAAACCGCTTGCCTTCGCTCGCGTCGTTGCACTTGACTTGCTTTCCGAGCGTTGTCCGTTGGACCCCTCTCGAAACAGTGCTCTTTCCAAGGGAACTCCACTGCACTGCACTGCGTGTCACCCCCACCCCCCCACAAACCTGTGCGTATGCACCAAACAACCGAAATTATTGCCAAAGGAATAAATATAAGAGAAAACTGAGAAGTATGTTGTAGAAGAACGTACGGTGTTGCCATGTGAATAGTCAAAGAATGCTATATTTTCCAATGAAAATGACAACATGTAGTGGACGGTGATGATGTTGGTCCCAACGCGCATGCTATCATGCCCGCACTGGTAATACGCGCGCGTGCCTATATGTACGGCTTTCATGCCGTTGGCTGAATCAACTAGTTCCACCCAGTGGCAAAGCTGGATTCGTTGCAGCTTGGCAAATCTGCAGCGCACATGGCAGCTGTGAGGACTTCAGGTTCTTCGTTTGCAGCGATGTTCCGGAAATACTTACGTCGTTGAGAGGCGTCTCCGCGGATGTACCGCGCCAAGCCTGCATTTTGCAAAACTTTCCAAGCCACAGCCATTGTTGCTCAAATCGCAACCGACGCGGCTATTAGTTAAGTTTCCCTAAAAAGCTAGGCTAGGAGCCAAATCATTAGCGTGAGGTATCCCACGTCCATACTAGAGGCTACTTGTGGGTGCTAGCTACCTCTTCTACTAGCTGCCTAGCTACCTCTACCTCTACCTCTCGCCTATCCCCCCCGTGAAAAAATTTCAAGTGATCCCCACCATGCCTTTTCAATCTGACAAATTTACTGGTGTGTATTGAAAAACTATGTCGGCATTCTTTCTGGCGTATCTTCTGACATTTTTCTGGCGTAACTTCTGACATTCTTTCATTTGACATTCTTTCTGACTTGTTTCCGGCATCTCTTCTGACATTCTTTTTGGAATCTCTTCTGACACGCTTTCTGGCATATCTTCTGACCTTCTATCTGGCATATCTTCCGACACTCTTTCATCTGACATTCTTTCTGGCATTATTTCCGGCGTTTCCTCTGACACTATTTTTCTTGCATCTCTTCTGACATGCTGTCTGGCATATCTTCTGACATCTGTTTGGCATATCTTCTGACATTCTTTCTAGCATACCTTCTGACATTCTTTCGGTTATCTTTTGACATTCTTTCTGACGTTCTATCTGGCATATCTTCTGACATATCTTTTGACTCGCGGTTGGGATCCGGCGGGGAACACTCGGAGCAGAACTCGCGGTTGAGGTCCGGCGGGAACGCTGCCATCCGGAGCCGGCGGTTGATGTCCGGCGGGGAACGCTGCCGTCCGGAGCTGGCGGTTGAGGTCCGGCGGGGAACACTGCCATCCTGCACTTGCGGTTGAGGTCCAGTGGGGAACACTGCTGTCTGGAGCTGGCGGTTGAGGTCCGGCGGGGAACACTGCAGTCCGGAGCTGGCGGTTGAGGTCTGGCGGGGAACACTGCAGTCCGGAGCTGGCGGTTGAGGTCTGGCGGAGAACACTGCCATCCGACACTCGCGGTTGAGGAGGAGGAGGAGGAGCAGGAGGAGGAGGAGCACGGCAGCTGACACAAAATCTAACAACCCTCACCTGACAGGTCGGAAAAAATGAAACCGGCGGTCGGGAGCCTTCCGCTGCCCAGTCCGGATATGCCACACGAGACTCGAACCAATCCAGCCCGTCACTCTCGCTCAAAGTGCCATCGACACGCAACACGTATTTTTGGCTCACAAACTTCTGTGTACCTCAGCGCTACGGAACTTCCAGATTGAACAAAAAACAAACATCAGTCGAACTGAAGATTTAGGAGCGTTGTTTTACACAGTCTTCTCTGGCCGAGCTAAGGCAAAGACTTGATTCTGTCAAACCGAAGGTGGACAGGAAGGTAGCAAAGCTGTAGGCCTGAGGATACGGAGCATAGGTCTCATCAACCTGAGTCAAAGCATGTCATGCATTGGTGATAAAGTGCCTGTGCAAAGTAGTGACTAGTGGTACAGAATGCTTCAAGACCAGTGGCAACAATGTCAACGTCCTGCAAAGCGCTCACCAACGCATTGGCGGCAGCTGACTTGTCCTCGCCTGCAATTGCATGTAGAACCAACTCGGTTTTGCGCTAATTGGTTCGTATTTGCACGGCAACGTGGAGTATGTGTTTCAGGTTCAGAAAATTACTCGCCATGTTTGCTGGGTGCCTGCAAGTATGTAATATGTTTTTCCAGCTTGAGGATTGCCAGCGACAACGTCTTCCATTGCCATCAATGTGCCGATCTGTTCAGCCACTTGTGTCGCATTGACATTTTTTCCACCAGCTGCACGAACCAGCTGAAGCTTGTAGCTTGCCTGGCTCAGTTCGAAGCGGTCGTAATACCCGTTCCATTGCACCCAGGCCACCACAGGAGGCGAAGTCATGCTACTTGTGAAGCTAGTGTAGGTGGTGACAGTTGAGTCAAAGATCTGCATTGCAGTTTCTTCCAAGTTGAAGAAAGCAGCCACAAACTTGATGTATTCTGCAGCGTGAAGATTGCCATTGTCTTTGGTTGCTGGGAAGTGCACTGCATTGCCTCGAGAGCGCACTTGTGCGCAATCAGCACCGCAATCCATGAACACGGCATCCAAGCTCTCCAATTGCCTCTCCCGTATTGTTGCATTCCCCCATGCAGACTCCAGCTGACTTCCGCATGACAAAGCCTTTCAAGGAAAGCCAACATGATGGTCGACCCCGCAAAAGCAACGCTTCCAAGTTCAGTCTGGCTAGACTTTCCTGGCTGTTCTAATTAAGATCAATTAAACTTGCACGCACAAAGGTTAGTTTAGGATCCTGTCCCAAACCAGAGTGAGTGACTACTCACTAGTTAACCCAACCTTTTTCAAGCATTCAACATGAAAAATGACAGGCACGGAAGTGGCTGACATCTGCTTTGTAGGCCCTGCACCCTGCCTTTTGCCAGCAGGGCCCGGAGGCGAAGGGATCCGCGTAGGCCACTCGATCCTGGATCTGGAGACGGCGAAAGAATGCCAAACTCGTCGTGGATGTCGCGGCAACTCGCCTTGGAGAGGCTTGGCAAAACGTACAACACACGTGAAAACCCTGCTAAATCCTAAATTGTAACACCAATCCCAGTTTTCTGCGAGATTCTGCAATGGGATGCTGAAGTGTTTTCGCTGGTAGGCAGACGTGTTGGGTGCCAAATCTTCGATCTCGGCCGTGGAGGGTGGAGTCGTCCCGCACTGGGTTAGCACATACTGCTCCTGTGAAAGCTTCTCCGTGAGCACCTGCAAAACATCCGCTTCTCGCCCAGCGCTAATTCTTTTGAGACTCAGTCGAGTAGCTGCTGAAATGAACATGGCTCAAAAGTCAGAAAGCACCAGTGTTCACAACGAAAGCTGCAGTGTTACTGAAGATGGTGGCACCTTGAAGTTCCTTCCATATGCAATCGAGATCAAAGCTGCCGATTGCACATCTGACTCCGCGGATGCCACAGCCGGTGCTGGAAACTCACCTTAGTCAAAAGAGGCCTCCCTCTCGGCAAAATTGATTGCAATTGAGCACATTGAACGATTGTATATATAATACACTATATTTCATCTTGATGTACCATGTATTTCTGTATTGTTGGAACTCATTGGAGCTGTATGCAGCCCAAAACCTTGATCTAGCTCCTTCCCTGACTGCAATTGAACTGAAAGGCCGACTTGAATCCTCAAGGGGTACAGCGAGACATCTCCAGAGCTACCATTGATGCACTCACCCACAGCAATGCGGTCAAGCAAATTCCGAATTGTAGCCTGCACGCTTCCTGGCAAGCTGGGCACGAGTGGCATCTCGCCTGATTGACTAGAGTTTTCACGCATGCACAAGCAATGCGCCAATGTGCATTCTACTCCGCTACAAACATCTACAAACTTCATTGAAACAAGCGTCGCAATTGTGACAATACCAGGACAGCTGCGATGAACACTGCCATGACAGCAAGGATCCAAGGCTCTGTGGTTCTAGGTCAAAACTATGCCAAAAAATGCTGAGGACAGTGACATGGGCATAGCACCGAATAGCAACATGAACGAGTGCCTTTCAAAGTGAAACAATAAATGTCAAACAAATCCCCGGGCCAATAACAACCCTGGCACAGCAGCCATCCAGTGGGCGCACTGATCAAGAGACTCTCGTATTCTGGCAACCACTTGCTTTCTGACCTTGGGTCTACGTAAAAAAAAGCCTTGAACAGCTGCTCAAGCTTGTGTTCAAGCTTGAGCAGCTGTTCAACCAAGCCATTAGAGAGAAGCACCGTCTTTCCCTTCTGGCTTGCTACTCCCTTTGTTAACTTCGATATGGGAGGCCCTGCATCATCATCCATCGGTGCTTCTGTCCGAGGCCTGAGTTGCAAGGCACTGCAACGCGACACAAGCTGCAGTATGGTCTGGCATCCTGAGGCGAATACCAAGCACCACTTGAGATCAAGTACAAATTCTCCGGCAACTTGGTTGAAAAGAACTGAAATGCACAGGATCAAACGTGTAAAGCAATTGTATAAACACTGCAAATGTTGAATGACTTGATCATTCGATTGATAGTAAATCTTGATCGAAGTCCGAGATAAGCTACCGCGGGGTTATGCTCTTTCAGCTTGACAGCATGTTCCATGACCTTAGCTTCATGGCATTGGGCTTTAGGACCAGTTGACATGTTGTTAGTTTGTCCTGCATTAACGATTTCAAGGTGACTCGAGGGGCACCATCACAGCAACTGCTCCAACGGGCGTCCAAGTGACAAAAAAAATCAAACGTAAATCACAAAAGTGAACCTAACACTTCTTCCAAGGAACATCGAACTTGGAAGACCATAACCAACTGGTGAGCCCGGAGGGCCTCTTCTCCTTGGAACGTTCTCTCAGCTGGACTTTGTGACAAGAGCTTTCGGAAAGTGCCGAGTTGCCGCAGCTTGCAAGAGTCGAAAAACACCGCCGAACCTTGGGCATCGAGCTCGAACATCTGGTAGGAACACGCTAAACAATCAGCCATTTTGTCAGCAAATATTTCTGAGCATCAAGAGCCTCACAAAGACTCAACCTGGAGCAAAGAAGGGAACAAGAACCAGGAAGCATGTGGAAGGGGTTCCTCGGCTCCTTCTTTCCTCTCTTCTCATTGAGTCGTTAAAAGGACAATGGTTTTTCAGCAACCCATCCACTGTTCTTTGAGAATCTAGAACCCTGCTATTCTGACAGACTGATTGTCATCGGCCTTCCCTGCAGCTGCATCAACTCCACCCAGCAATCTCTTGGTGAGATCCTCTGAATGGACTGAACGGATAACAACCTTGAAGAAGAAACCAACCCACACATGCATATACATTTATCATATACAACCTACATAGTCACTGGTCTAAAAAATATACTTCTTCCATGCTTCGATCCTCTTCGCTATTTTTCTAAACATCGCAGCCAACGGCAGCCCCCTCCTCCTCATTCAATGGGAAGTCCTCTACAATAAATTAGCGCCAAAACAAATCTGGTTTCCTGGCAGGATTCCTTCTGTAATTGATTGTAGTATTCATGTTCCTTTCTCAGGTTCTTTCTAGATATTATCAGCAATGCTTTTATACTACTAAGAAGAGTACAAAGAAGGTTCTCAGGTTCTCTGCGGCTTTAAAGAAGGACTTGAGAAACCTACAATTACCAATACTCTCAGCAAGCCAGCCATCGACTTAGTAGTATTATAATGTGTTATATAAGATCATGTTGTAACTTTCTTGAGGAAGGAAACAACTTTGCACAATTGAGGACCCTTAAAGCACATGATTTTTTTGTTTCAATACAACTTGCGTATCTGGGGCCCTTTCTGGTCTACTACCTTGAATATTTGTTTAGGAGCAACCTTTACATAAAGGATGGGTTAAGAGAATTGATGGCTTTGGGAAGCTGTCAGTTTTGAAGAAGAACTAGAGAAACCTACAATTACCAATGCTCTCAGCAAGCCAGTCATTGGCTTAGTAGTATTCACAGTACTCAGAAGAATTCAACAACCCCAAACATTTGTTCAGATAATGAAAAATCGGATCAACAAACAACATAATAGAGGACGCTTAAAACAAACATGGGGGGTCAGAATTATTTTTGAAACATTTAGTATTGTAGAGGATCCCTTTGCTAATCAGGATCCAACATTAGATGTAGATCTTCCAAACAAGCATGAGAGTATTGCCACGCCGGATTGTATGTAAAACTCCAGGCAAAACGACATGCAACATCATCCAATTGTATACCTACTAGTAACAAGGGCATTCTATACTATTGACCAGTGCATCGCTACTAGTAGCGTCTTGTTACTAGTGGTGATCCTGTTTCAATTTCAGCTGTTTGTTTCCAAGCAATGTGCTCCCTCTTCGGCAAGGTCCATGATCAAGACCTAAAACACACAAGCGCCAGAAGTAATAGCGTTTCTATTCTCTCCAAGGCGGTGGATTTCTTCTGCCAACAACAGTAGTGGTGTCAATAACAATGGCCTTTCTAGCAGTGCTCTTGAGTTTAGAGTTGTGTTCATTTCTTTTCTTCTTAAGAACTGTCTAATTTATGGACCTTTTCTTGTTCCTTTTTCCTTTTCTATTTTCTTTTCTCATCATAAAGTCACAATGAGTCAACATGGTTCTAGCCATCCCAGGTCCCGACGGTCAAATCAGGATGCTTCTGAGCAAAGAACGTAGACCTTAAACAGTGGCGGCAGAGCGCACTGCAGCACTGCCACTTTTGTGGTATGCATCACGCGGTACGAGGACGCATCACGGAGATCATTTATGACCATTATCACCTCTTACCACCTCTGATAGATGGCAGTCAGCAGCTGCAAGAACCAACAATGGCTTCAAAATCGCGAAAGGGTCCAAACCAGCACCACCCAATGCCAGATCTAAATTCGCCCAGCAAAGGCTGAACATATACCATAGGCCATAGGCCTCAGAATAGCTTATATATATAATCCAAACACAAATCTGTAACCTGAAAAGTGATCCAAAATAGGCTTTCGAGGGCTTTCGATATGACTTGTGTCACTGAGGCTTCTAACATCGAACACCGCCCTACCGCATACCCCCTACCGTACTTCTCCAATTTGCATGATGCGACACTCACCTTATGCAATTCTCATCAATTCTCCCTATCCTATGGTGAGCTGACGAACATCCAAAACAACCCTGGTTAAAGCGTGTGGGTGGGCTTGTGCATACATACTGTGGAGGATGTGCAAACAATGCGGCATTGCGGCCAATCTCAAACTTGCTTTGTTCCTCCGAATCGCCGACAGCCAACAACCAACATCTTTGGGCTGCAAGCATCTGATATGCCAGAGTCGTCTTGCCAGTGTGGCCGATATGACCTCAGAGACGCAACATTTTGGTCTCCTTGATCTCCTAGAAATCTGCCTTTTGTTGCGGGAAGGGGGGAAGGCCGGAGGTAGCTAGTAGAAGCTGGGTACATATGGACGCAGGTCTCTTCAAGGAAGTTCCCCCCGCCGCCTTTAGAGCTTCCTTGAAGAAGCGCTCGTACTATTCATTTCGTTCCTAGATTTGTTTGGGAAACTTAAGTGACGTATTTTGGCAAAGGTCTGATCCTCTCCGATTGATCCCAACATCTTGTGCTTTTCACCACCAACTGCGGACAAGGGCTGGCAAAGACATGCGAGCTCTGCAGCGGCATTGCACCAGCTCCTTCCCAGAATATATTTTGAGGATTTGTTGAATCTGTCAGCTTCCGTGCGACTGTATGGACTTGACTCTCCAAGCTGATATTGATTTATATAGGTTCCGGTGACTCTCTCAGAGTCAAGCAAACTAAGAGTAAAGGCTGTGAAAGTAAAGGCTGAATCATCTAGGAACCAAATCATTAGTGCGTCTTAGCTAGTACCTTACTTCTGCCTTACTTAATTCAGCAGGTGCCTAGGTGCCTACTTAATTAATCAATTAAGTAGTAGGAGGGCAAAGCCGGCAAAACAAAATAACGTTCGAACAACATGTTCTGTCAAATCTCTTCTAGCGATCTCAATCTTGTCTCAGCTTGCCTCAATCCCCCCAAACCCAAGCTCCAGAGTTGTGACGCAGTTCTTCTTTGAGCGACTCCAAACGCAAAACAGCGCGGTCTCTAGCAAGTGGATGAAGGCCAACTCGAGGTAACAGCAATTTTGATCAACTTTGGTTGTTTCGTGATATTTTCCTCACAAGTCAGGCCGATTGGGCGCGCGGTCGATTAGCTCAAAATCAGTCTTGAGACGGCAGGATGCGGGATTTCAATGACTCAAACCAAATCGGATCCAGGCTACATGATGCCACATGATGAGTCCAATGGAGCCATTGTCTCTGTGTTGGACTTGCTTCTTGTTTTGGTCTAAAGCCATCCAGCTGGTCTTTGGCCGGAAACCAGAAATGATGACATGGACAATTCTCCGGCTTCACCTGCTCTCGTCGAACAACTCCTGGGTTCATCGCTTGAGTATAAAGAGAATCGCTGCCAGACTGTTCGGAGACATTGAAAGAAGGAACGAAAGAGCCAAAAGGTGTTTTGGCTGGGCCGCTTTAATAAGGTCCCTTTAACGGGGCCTTATTGAAGAGGGCCAAACACCTTCTTGTTTCCTCTCCTTCTGCATACGTTTCATTCTCTCAAATGGTCTTTCATGCTGTGACCATGTCCTTCATTGTAGGACCTTCCTTCAGCAGCTCTGGATTTATCTCTTCTTGCCGAGCAGCCTGTCTTTTCGTTCTCTTCTCTTCAACTTGTCTGAATGGTTCTGCTTTTGCAGTCCCTTCGAGTCTGGCCTCTTTGTCTGCTTGGAACTTCAGCAAGGTGAGCTCTTTGGCCATTGTCTTCTTGAACTGCAAAGCAACCCCCCGAGCAACAGGCTTTATCAAAACCTTCAAACCACACAGTTAAACAAGCTGCACGTTTGTATGTGGTTCTTTGCCTTGTCTTTGACCTTGCTGTTCTCGGGTAGCTTCACTTTGGACACCAGCTTCTTGTAGTCCTTGTGATGGATTGAGTGGGCTAAGCGTCGTCGAGCAACCATCTATCTGCAATGGCAGTCGAACAATTCCATCAAACGCAAACCAGGATACGGATACGATAAAAAGAAACATGTAAATGTATCCGCATGGATATCTTTCGTGGCCTGGTGACCTTTCAAGTACATCTTTAAAGACTTGAAGCAGTGACTGCAAGTGGCTGCCACACAATTTTGATTGTTTCATTTGGTGTTTGCACCTCGTTGGGCTCAGAGTATGCAGCTTCAGCACGCAATCGTTCCCTGCCACATTTGGACGACCTACAGTATCTCCCTTCAATTGTTCCCTCTCGAACGCAACTAATAGCTTCTTGTTGTATACTACAGGTGAAACGATTCCAAGTGAAACGATCCCAAGGAAGCTTCTCGATTCTAGCTACTAGTAGCTTCTTGCTACTAGTAGTAAGGAGTAGCATCCTTGCTCCTAGTAGCGATGCCCTTGCTACTGGTAGCATAAGTTCTGAAGCCAAGATCCAAAATTCCCTCGGACATTCCTCTTATTTTTGCTCTGCGCTCAGTCCACAATTTCGAAGCCACCTTTCATCACCTTCACATGCCGCAATAAAACATGGCAACAGGTATTTTTGCGAGAAGTATCTCTTTATCAGCCAAGAAGCATCAGATGTTGTTGGTCTCAAAGTCAAAATGAATGGTTCCTCAATGCAATTGACGTCGACATGGTTTCAGTACTGATTCAATACATTTCGGGGCAAATGTCCTGGCAAAAGAGAGAAGATGCTGTTTGGACCTGCTGCAGAAGCAACTTCTGTGCATTTGTTCACCACTCTGTTGTGCTGGAAGAGTCCACTTCGAGCTCATGCCTGGCCTCCTTTGAAACCCAATCAAAGACCTTGCAGCGGCCGCCCGTGCATTCTGAACATTCAGTCTTTTCAAAATGGCATCAAACAACATTATGTTCCATCGAGAGTATTGAACAGCACATTTTGCCAGGATAGCTTTAAAAACACAAATAGCTCTAACTTTTCAGGCATAAACATTGCATTCTAGTAGGGAACTATTTAAATACACAGGCAAGGCAAGAGATGGCAAGAGTAAACACGACGTGTGCAGTACGAGTACAATGCGCACAGCACGACGAGGTGGACATATAAATGCGAGGAACAAACATATTTATGGCACTTTTACCAATGTCATTGTTGGCCAGCAAAACATCCAACTACACGCGAGCAGCTCACGTGGCATGACATGAACCATACAAACTCCCTTCATCAATGCACAAGGTCATGCAGCAATTGTGGAGCAATCCGATACATATTCCTCAGTCTGGATCAACTTTTCTGCGATCTCTTTTTTTCCTCGCCTTCAATAGCAAATGCCTTCAACCTACTAGCGATGGAATGGCCTCCAACCTAATAGAAATGGCCTTCAACCTAATAGCGATGGCCTCCAACCTACTAGCGATGGAATGGCCTCCAACCTAATAGAAATGGCCTTCAACCTAATAGCGATGGCCTCCAACCTACTAGCGATGGAATGGCCTCAAACCTAATAGCAATGGCCTTCAACCTAATAGTGATGGCCTCCAACCTACTAGCGATGGCCTCCAACCCCATAGCAATGGCCTGAAACCTTCTAGCGGCGGCCACCAACCTACTAGCGATGGCCACCAACCTACTAGCGATGGGATGGCCTCCGGCCTGTCGGCGTTGTCTGCCCATGCTTACTCGAGATTTGTCTTCCTTTTTGTCTCCCAGTCTCCCCACTTGGGCGCCACATGTCCCACGTGTATTCGGTCCACTTCTTGGTGGTCTTCCCAATTCGGTGATGCTCCGCCTAGCAGGGTTGCTGCTAATTTGCCACTTACATGTCTCTCCCTGTTTCCCTGTTTTCCTCCTCAAGCCTCCTCACCGAATCTTTACTTTTTGTCTCCCACACTTGCGTAGTCTCGCCTGAACTGCTTTTACCGGTCAACCCCTTGCCACCTTTCTACACTGGTCAATGCTCTGTCCGACCTCATATCTTTACACATCACTCCCAGCCCGCTGTGCCAATTCATTTCTTGATCTGTATCTCAGTCTGGGATGCCACCTTTCTTCATTTGGAATCTGTGAAAATGAAATGGCGTCCATCACCCTCCTGTTCTGCAGCAAAACCAACAAGCAACCAAACAAATCTAAAACATTCTACAGCCAAACCTAATCAAGCAACAGCGCTATCCAAATCGGCTCAAGTTGTATTGGAGTTTTAAGTCCCATGACACTCTTGCCAGCCTTAGATTGCCTTAGATACTCTTGGGGTCTGTCAGGCACAAGGCTGCCCATCGATTCGGTCCACGAACTGACGCGCCGACATGATCTGGAAATTTCGTTGGCTGCGGCAGTATCCTCGGAACTGACTCTGGGTCCTTGGCGGAAAATTCATCAAAAAGAACAAAGAGAAGAAACATGGTAATCGCCCTTTAAAGGGGGGACTCCTTTTTCATGTACCTTTTTCATTTCCTTTTTTTGCTTGTTTTTTTGAGGCTTTGGATATCCGCCGACCCTGGCCCGGCCATGGCCAGGGCGGCGCCTGGGAGCACCTTTGGTGTGCAACTTGTCCATTCCGCGCCCAAGCATTTACCTTGAAGAAGGCTCTCTCTGGCTTCTAGGCCATTTGCCAGGCCGGAAACCCCAGACTTTCCGCACGGTTCGAAAGCCTTCAAACCCTAGGCCTAGGCCCTATCTGCGTTTCGAAATTGCCTTTTGCCACCCTGAAATGCTTCAAAACCACTTCAACCATCTATTCAGCACACCAGAGATGAGCCTCCAGATGGGCACCCTTTGCTGAACAATCTGTTTTTTTGCATTGTTGAAATTGTTTTGATCATAGTTGATCATATTTAAACATAAACGGTCACAAATAAGATCTGAAATGATTAGAATGATTCAAGAAAGATTACAAATGACACAACAAAGAAACAATGATTAGAAACGATTTTGAACAAAAATTCTCACCGAGTAAAAGTATGAATGAACCAAAAGTGTTTTCACGAGTAAGTCCACGAGTCGAGCCACGAGTGAAGTTGCAGTGAACTTGCAAACAAAATGAAGTTCAACATTTTCTTTTACGACAAGTTGACGAGTCGAGTCGAGCGGCAAGTCAACTTCCAAAGCGCAATGCAAGATGTACCAAGTACAAACGGTTCCTTTACGATAACCGACGAGGCCAGGAGCACTGTGAAAGTTTTTGAAATTAGTAAGTTTTGGCTGAAGAGCTCTGTCCTGGCAGGGATTGTGACAAAGTAAAGTTTTTGCAGCTAGTCAAGTATTGGCTGAAGGCATTGAGTATTCACGCCGCTCCGCGGCAAGGTCCGCCTGCGCCGCCATGAAACAGTTGCCCAACAAAAACGGCGAATAGCGAGGTTTTTGAGGTTGACGTTGCCAAAAAGGCAAGTACGTACCGTATTTTACAGTGTTTTTATGCTCTGTGAGGCAGAAACCGCTGCAAATAACGATGTTTTTGAGCTTGCCGTAGCCCAAAACACCGCTATTTACAGTGTTTTTGAACTGGCTGTCAAAAAACACCGCAATTTGCGGCGTTTTCAACAACATGGTCGCCAATAATACTGCTATTTGCGAGAGGTTTAACATTTTTGCGCAAAAAACTTCAGCTTCGGCAATGTACAAAACGCTGCAAAAGCCAATGTTTCTGCCCAACAAAAACGGCGAAAACCGTCGCCCAAACAGCTCCGAAATTCCAAAATCTGGCCCCTCTCAAAAATGAAAATCGCAAACCAAAAGTAAACGCGCGTAGTTTTTTCACTTTTCTCTTGCCGGCTCCGGGTGGGCGCATGCACGAACTAGTCCATTCCGCGCTGTAAAACACAGTGTTTTTTGAAGTCCGCCGTCGTGACCTATCAAAAACCAATTGTTTTTGCGAAAAAAGGCCCCCAAGAACCTCTCTCAGGTAAGCCGTGGAACGATGTGCGCAAGATTTTGCTTCGTGCAGCCTGGCAACGTGAAGCAGTCATTGGCATGTGCCTTTGCGCCCACCCAGTCTGGGAGCATGACATACCCGGCCATCCGCAAGATGTGGCAGGCATCATCAACTGCTTGAACATGTGGCTTCAAGCTAATTAATGCCTTTCACGTTCTCTGCCAAGAACGCCTCACGCGAAGTTTAAATAGTAACTCCCAACGCGTTGAATTCAGATCAGAAACGGTACATGCGTCCCTGCCGTGTCCCTGAGCCTTGGATGACCTTGCGGGCGCTCTCCACAAACAAGCTGCCAGTGTTGCCTTTTAGTCCTGGACAAATCACGGCGGTTCCAGGGCTCACAGTGACCCATGCGCACATCTTGAATGTCCAATGCAAAGTCCTCGCCCACAGCCAGCAATTGAACAATCAATGCGTGGGCTCGCGCTGATACCGAGATGATGGTCCATGGTCGATCGAGCGAGCATGTCGGCAAAGAGATTCTTGGGGCTCTTCATCACATAAGCATGAGTACACTTCATCAAAGCTTGGACCCTTGCATCTATCTCTGAGACCGCCTCGATCTCAAATGCCACACCCAAGTTGTGAAGCACCAAGGCCTAAAAGGACATATTATTCTTGATTGCTTACTCGAAAGGCTGTATGACATAAAGTGCATCTGGCTGACTGCAAAGCTTTTGAATCAAACCCTGCGCAGTCACCGGTGTATCTAATCACCTTTGGACCTTGCGTCTCAGCTGCCATTGACAATGGATATATCTGACATATGACATATGACACCATCGGCGCTGACTTGACACATGACTGTAGTAGGCACCTGACAGTCCGGGCCCCAGTTTTGACAACTTGTGAAGTCTTGAACATCGAGTTGGAGCGCTGACCCTTGCTGGCAAAGTCATCATCAAGCGAATGACACGGTGCATCTGCAAAGATTGTTACAAGTGAGTGACAAGTCAGTTACGCAACCTGACAATCTGACAACATTGACATTTGACCAAGGCCATTGCAAAATAGGAGGTCTTGTCTTGCACAAAACCATGCACGCGGCAAGTTGATGCAAAGCTGACAAAGAAATCTATTGGTGGCGTGTGATGCTGAACCTGTCGAGTTGATTATGAAAAGTTGACAACGACTAAGCGCTAAGTTTGACATTGAAGAAACAAAGACACTGCGATTGGCAACAGTGATGACAATGACAACACTTGAGTGAAACAGCCAGCTGTCAAACTTGTGAGTGACGCCACATGAGCAGGAACAGCTGTAAAAAATGACATGTGGGCCCCTGCCCCTGGTTGAAGTCGACCTGA